AGAGGGCTGGGCCCAATTCTCTGATTCTCTCAGCAAAGGTTCTCTGAATATAATCAGTTTTGGTATCTTCAGTGGATGGTGTGAATACATCCAAGTGCTCCATTAGCTGTTGGAACAATTTTTTTTTGTTTATGCCTCCCTATCACTTGGAGTTTTTAAACAAAATCTGAATTGCCCTGTCACTCTCTTCCTGATCTTAGAGACTGACTGTCTGAAACAGCTGTACTTCAAGTTTTAAGAAAGATTTTTATCCTGGACTTGTTGCTATATGCATCCTGACAATTTCCGTATTGCTTGTTCACAATTATGGAAGATCTGCTGTTCTGTTGGCATCTCCAAGTCTGAGCAAGGGAGTCATTATGCTACTATGGAGTGAATAATTTCTTTTTCTCTGATTCTCTTCAGCAACCAAAGAGATTGAAGACCCTATGGAGACAGCAGAGAAAGTTGGTCTTGCAGCACTAATAATTCAGGTGAGCCTGAGCTGCCTCCAAAGGTGTTTGCAATTTCTGTGAAAAGTTAAAAATTGACACAGAGAGCCATATCGAGGTGATATTAATTTATTGTTCCAGGACTTCCGGGGCCTTCTGTCATCTGATTATCAGTTTAGCTGGGATCGAGCTCTTCAAAGTCGTGGAGATACAGGCGTGTTCTTGCAGTACACCCATGCCAGACTCCATAGGTAAGAGAAGCGTTGGTATGCAGAAGTACAGTTTGACAGGTATTTTAAATTTATTAACCTACTGCTTGCCTAAATATTACACATTCACTTTTTCAGCAGAGGTGTGACTTTACAATAGGAATCACTGAAACTTGTCAGAAGAGCAAGCCAATTAAAATGAAATTTCCACCTCATTTCCACAGGGCTGAGCTGACTGTCCGTGTACTACCCCAGTTCTGGAAACAGCCTCTCTGTGGTTGGTGTCAGTGATGAGGAACGGTAGCCCTAGGATTAAGGAAACTGATGTAAACCCCAAAATACCTGTACTTGTAAAATATACCAAATCACAGAACTTAAATATTTTTGACTATCACTGTAGCTAGTGGTTTTTTTTAACATTTTGTTATTTCCCACTGTTGGTAGCCAAGGTTAAAAGCAGACCCTTTCCTGTTGGCTCAGGTCAAACACCTGACGTTTAATTATTTTTTAAAAAGAATTTTGAAGAGTCCAGTTTGAACATTTTTAGCAATTGTAGTGATGTTTCAGGGCATTTTTAATGCAGATACGGATATGTATTTTCATAAAAGCATGTAAGATACCTTCCTGGATCAGGCCAAAAGTCCATACAACCTGGTATTCTGTCTGAGGCAATGGTAATAAGAGATAATATTCAGGGAGAGCAGGCAAGCCTGATCCCTTTTTGTAGTCTATTCCTCTTGTATTCCCTTATCATCTAGATATTGCTGGTACTAGGGTACCATTACTAGGGTGTTGACTACCTCCCTAGTCCTTGTAGCATGAGCTTCTGGACCTATTGTCCATGTGTATCTCTAATCCTGTTGATACTGAATGACTATCACAAATTTTAAATTTTTTATCTTGGGTTGAAATCAGCTAGTCTGTCTTAGTGTTCCATTCAGCTTGAGCAGAAGATGCCTACCCTTTTTTCTTAAAAACACAAATTACTGGTTTTTGTGTTCAGCTTTGCTGACAAGAGTTTTTCATTCAACAATTGTTTTTCATTCTTACATTTTAGTTTAGAACAGATGCATGGGAATGGGCAGCTAACTGATGCTAATGTGTCATGCTTAAAAGAGCCAGATGCCATCTCTGTTCTTCAGCATCTTCTCAGGTTTGTATAGTTTTCTTTCCAAATACCAGTTCCATTAAAATCAACTTATGGATTTGCTGCCAGACTGCACAATCAGAAAAGAAAAATGGCTATTTCAAGGAATTGACTTGTCTGTTGGGTCATACTAATTGCTACAGTAGGCCTCACTTGGAATCTTCATGAACTTTACAAGCCATATGAGGGAAAAAGCAGTATTTGGAACATACTCAGTGTATATGAGCCTCTTGATTATTTATTGTCTTCACAGAAATATGCTAAGTTCTATATAAATATTAGCTGCAGATTTGCTTGGTCCCTCTTGTTCTGTTTTTGTCATGTGGGAAAGGAGGAAGTGCTCCTGGGTGAGATGAAATGGAGTGTGTGCATGCTGCACACTCAACATTCTTCAGAGCTACTGAACGTGCACAACTATTACCTGTTAATAGTAATGTTTTTCATTAATTCAGTCTTAAAGTTCAGCAGTTTCTGTTTTCATTATTTCATAGAATCATAGAATGGTTTGGATTGGAAGGGACCTTAAAGATCATCTAGTTCCAATCTCCCTGCCATGGGCAGGGACACCTTCCACTAGACCAGGTTGCTCCAGGCCTCATCCAACCTGGCCTTGAACACTTCCAGGGATGGGCCATCCACAACTCCTTTGGGCAACCTGTTCCAGTGCCTCACTACCCTCTGAGTGAAAAATTTCTTCCTTAGATCTAATCAAAATCTCCCCTCTTTCAGTTTAAAGCCATTTCCCCTTGTCCTATCACTACATGCCCTTGTAAAAGTCCCCCTCCAGCTTTCCTGTAGGCCCCCTTTAAGTACTGGAAGGCTGCTATAAGATCACCCCGGAGCCTTCTCTTCTCTAAGTTCATAGGTGTGTAATTAAAATACAGAGACAGGGGGGTTGTCCATGTCACGCAGCCTGTGATGGAGTTGGAAGTAATTGAGGCTTTCAGAACTCCTAGTGAGAGGTCCTATATACCACATTACACACTGCACGGTGCTGGAGACTTAACTCCTTTGGCCACACTAAGGCCTTCTTAAGGGCATCTGTTAAAAATTCAGACTTTGAAAAGTCGTGTCAGAGTCCCAGGTAGGTCCTTTTCAGCCTGCAACTGTAGGTTGCAGTGTCCTGCAGTTAACTGTCATTGCCTCAAGAGGTCTGCCTGCAGTTCATTGTGTGGTGCATGCTCTCCTGAGGAATAGCAAGACCAGCCAGCACTCTAAATAAGACCGGTAATATCTTACTTATCCAGCGTAATTGTATTTCACAGAAACCTCCTAGGTTGTTTCTTGTTTTTTATCAGATTACTGTATAGCTGCCAATCTTATATGGGAAAACTGGCAGGGTTAATTTATTTCAGATTGATTTGTAGGGATCACTGCGTCCCAGATTGTGTCCATTTTCCAACAGCACTTCTTGCTTCACTGCAGGGCTCTTATTTTCATAGAGCTTCAGGTCTGCTTATTGCAGACACCTTTGAGTCTGACCCAGCACCATATGGAATTTGTACGAAACATCTCCTGAGGCCTTTACTTCCAGCAGAAAGCAATATTTAGGTTATCCGCTAGACCAGGCACTCAGTGACTAACAAACTCATATTTAAATATCCCATGATTTCAGGAGTAACAATTGCTATTCAGTCCTTCTTGTGAGTTGTCACAAGTAGATTCTTCTTGAAGAGTTTCCATGGTAAATACTTCTGAGTTGCCAGAAGCCCACATCCCATGGCTCTGCTTCTGCTGTTTGAAAAGCTACCAAACACTTGCCCTTAAAATCAGCTGACCAGTTCTGAATACCATTAACTTTGCAGACTACTGAATAGTAGATTGAAGGTAGCATGGATATCCCTGCAGAAGTGGACTTACTTAACTGATAAAATAATCTAACATGTTGTCACAGGCTAACACTGAAATGGCAGCTTCATGAAGCAATAAAGCTGCTATCAAAAGAGAGACCCTTCACTGCGTACCAACTTTGTTGCTTCATGAAGCTCTATTAACAGCAATTTAATGATGCTTGTTAAATTAATAGTAATTTTTGTATACTTATGTTCTGACTCTGGGAGCCCAGCAGTTGCCGATCTAAGCTGTCCCTGAGGCAATGCAGAGGTTGCCCTGATTTTGTCTCACACCTGTTGCACAGTGGTATAAAGGCAGCGACCTTCCGTGTTTGCATAGTGGCCAGCTGGTGCACGCTGGCTGAGGTGAGCTGCTGAAGGTACGTCTTAAGAGATGTTTTCCTAGCTTACCCAGCAAGGGAATGGGGAACGCTTCCTCCCTGGTGCTATAGCTCTTAAGTGACCACTGAGCCCTCATTATAAGAGCTCACTCCCCAGTTCTCCTGCAGCTTGTCTTTAAAGGAGGAAGATCCCAAGTAAGTTCAGCTTGGGCATGCAGGCGGGGATGAGCCTGGGAGCTGAGCAAAGACTAGGAAGTCCACTTTGAATTTGAAATCTGTTCAGCCCCAGAGGTGTTGGTAACTTCTTGCAGGCTGTAAAAGGATGATGTGCACAAGTGGACAGCAGAACACATAAAGAATAAACATGGATTTCCATGACTCTGCCTGTATTGTCCAGTTTGATACTGCATTGCATAAATCGATTTTATCCCAGGATTATGTAAATGCACTTTGCTTTTGTCTTTTCTAATGTTAAAAGATTCCCTTTAGCTCCTTAAAATTCACAGCTGCGTTTACTAAAGGCAGCATCCTCTAAGGGACTATTTTGACTGTCTTGGTTATTTAATACATGTTTTTTACTCCTAGGAACTTAAAATTAGTGTTGAAATATAAAACCAGACATAATGTTCCAGGAGCAAATATAGCTCGTGTGTTCTCTTTGCCTATAGCCTGCCTCTCTGAGCTCTGCCATCTACAGTGTTTGCATGATGAGAGGCAGAAGCAATCCCCTTGAATAATAAGTGAAAGAGGAAGAAATAATCAATTGTGTGCTGATTACATGGCTTAGGTGTGGTTCAGAAGATTATTTTTATTAATTCTGCAGTTGTGGTTGCGTGTTTGTTCTGACTTAAGCAAGTCTGATGAGGCTTACATCTGAGTACACCTTCCTACCACTTTAACACCAAACAATCTTTTTCTTTCTTCACAGGTATGACGAGGTCCTGTATAGGTCTTCTCAGGATCTGCAACCCAAGCACATTGTCAGCTACCTCCTCACACTCAGGTAAGGTGATCACCGATACTGGCATCTGTCTACGGTAAGGACAGATCTTCCTGAGCTGGCTCTGCAGCCCTTGCATCTGCACTGCTTTGAAGAGTAAAAACAGTGGGAAGATGTGAATTTGTGGGACAGTCTCTCTGGAGCAGGAAAGGTAAAAAGTAGGATAGTAAATAATATAACGAATAGTAGAGATGAAGGTTGGCATCAGGAACAAAGGAGCCAGGAGCCTCCTCAGAAACTAGTTGCTTTCAAGAAAAATAGAATCACTTGACTATAACCCAGCGCCTGAACTCAGAATCATGCTGGACTAATCATATCTTAAAGAGCGGATTCGAGTTGATAATATGCTCTCAAAATTTCAGCTAGGAAATTTTGTCCAAACCCCTTTTAACCACTGATCTCAGCCTATGTGTTGAGATGGACAAAGGATATTATTGCTGTAAGTCATCCCATGTATGCACCCTCCATAGGGAGGGTCCCCATAGGGACCTGTCCAAGTTAACAGGACAGTGAAACACTGGAGCAGACTTGCTGGAGGAAGCTGTAGAGTCTGTGTATGGGGAAGGCTTTAACAAATTAAGGAGAATGGTACAAGGATTTATGCACCTTGGGAATGACAGGGCAGCCTCTCACGGATCTTTCCAGACCAGTTTTGGGGTTTTGGGGGGCAGGGAGTGGAGAGATTGTTTTGGGTGGGGTTTTTTCACAAGCATTAAGTTGTCGATGGCATGCCCTGACAACATGCAAGCTACAGAAAACCACGCTCTCCCTCAACCAGGTGAAAGAGGCTGTTGGAAATAACAGTCTCTGGTAGGCTGCAGTTGCAGCTCTTCCAGTTCTGCTGCTTCCCGTAGCGCTGCTCTTGTCAAGAGTCTTGCTCGTTCTCACCCTGTTTTCCATTTCAGCCATCTTGCAGCTGTGGCACACAAAGCCCTCCCTGTGAAAGGCAGCGCTCCTGAACTAGCACAGGTATGGCACAGCGTTGTCATGTGGCTGGAGACTGTGCAGGGCATCCCAGAGGAACGATCCATCTGGGCTTTGCCAGCCCAGCTGTGTGACCACTTGGGGGAATATGGACCTGCAGGCTAACAAGCCAACAGGCAGGCTCTCCCATGGGGCACCACTTTGGGAAGGCGAGGGTTGCTGTGTATGGCTCTGCCTTCTGGGAAGGGCTGCTCTGCCTGATCTTTCCCAACCAGAATGCTCCATAAGGAAAGCTGCTCCAAACCCAAAGAAACTTCTTTCTTTCTTTCTCAGTACCTTTCCTTCTGAACCTTCAAAAAGTAAACGTTTGAGCAGGCAATGTTTGACCCCTTCACTGCTCAGTAAATGATATACTAATTATACTGCAATTCTTATTTTCTTTTATCTATTTCAAAAGAAGTTAGCTAGCTGATTTTGGTAGGAAATCACATTCAAGTGTTAAACTGTGTTGTGGGGGGCGGAATTTCAGTGGAATTGATGGAGCTGCACTCTTTAGTTGAGCTTAGATGCTATAGATATTCCTGCCTTTGAAGATGATTCCATGCATCCTTGGGAAGAACCACTAAGACAGTCCAAGCTACAAGGAAAATTTCAGTTCTTTTATCCTGTAAAAATTTTTTTTCCTAAATATCTTACAATGTGACAACTTTCAAGAACTATTTTTTTTGAGTAAGGGTGATAGAGCCCTTCCAGCTAAGACACTGAAAAGGAAGAGTGAAATCTTCAAAGCAGCCCATAGTTGCTTGACAGCCTGTAACCCAGGCACAGTGAGAGGAGGGATTCCAGCGGTGTTCTCAGCCTGTCACAGCCGGTGCTGCACTTGTGTGGTGCAAAGATTTTCACTTCTCAGTCATTGCTCGCTCTTTGCAGGCATCCCCTCTGGTCACTCTGCCCCAAGGGTGTGGATTTTCTTTCCTTGTGATTTTTTATGTACAAATGTCATTACTAGACTGGGCTGGACACCCCTTTCCAGTTTCCCTTCGCTGACGAAAGTGTCCCTCTGCTGACACTGGGATGTCAACAGCTGGTGTGAATTCTGCCGGCAGCGGTGTGTTACTCAGTACTCAGATTACGTATGTGTCCAAATCTCAGCGCCCCGCGTGGGGACAGCAGATGCACCCAGTGTTCTGCCCCTGACAGTCTGCTCCAAACTGCTGTCCTGAGAACTGCGCGCTGTTCCATAGCAACACCGTAAGCTGATGGCTGTTCTTGTTTTGCAGGCAAGGCTCTGTCTCTTTCAAGCTGCACGCTTGGTTCTCGCCAATGGAATGAAACTTCTTGGCATTACACCTGTAACTCAAATGTAATGAGGCTGTATGCAACGTAAAGTCACAGCTCTTAGTAAAGGATTTTTTTTCAAGAGAATATAAATGCTCTCCCGTGAGTCATTGCTAATGCAGTCTGGAAACTGTCCGCACTTGGACCTTTGTACGCTCCATCATACTGACTGCAGAAGAGCATTCATGGCACAGCCATGGGGGGGAGGCCAGGGTTGCCACAATCACTTTCTCCCAGACCCTTAGGAGCAGTAGTGTACTTCAGACACCAGTCTATCTGGTGTTTCCCATAAAAGAGAACTGCTCTGTATATCTACAAAATACAACATCCTTTTGGTAGAGGAAGTGCTACTACACTGTGCTGCCCTCAGCAATCAAAGTTCTCCTGTTCTGTGGTTGCCACTGTGTACTTAGGCCTAACGGTACAACGCCAGCTACAGGTCCTCTGTATACTGTAACAAACTGAGTTCATAGAGTCATAGAATGGTTTGGGTTGGAAGGAATGCTAAAGATCTAGTTCCAACCCCCCTGCCACAGGCAGGGACACCTTCCACCAGATCAGGTTGCTCAAAGCCTCATCAAGCCTGGCCTTCAGAACTTCCAGGGATGGGGCATCCATGACTCCTCTGGGCAACCTGTTCCAGTGTTTCACCACCCTCATTGCAAAAAAGTAATTGAAATCTATCTTTTTTCAGTTTAAAGCCATTGACCACACCAGAGAATTTTTTCCTGTGTGTTGTACTGCCCTCTCCCTTCAGTAACATTAGCCCAGGGCAACTGCTACATCCTGTTCCTCACCCATTCCTCTGTCATGCCAATGTGACAAGCGGGGAGAAGAGGGTTTGCTGCTCAGCTGGCGAAACAGTAATGGTGGTGCTCCCTCAGCACTGTACACACAGTCAGGCATGGCAGGTGCTGCTTGGCGCCCCTGAGCCATCACGCTGCTGAAGAGAGGTGGTGTGTCACGTGTAAGGTAGTGCAGGTGGCTGCTCCAGCCTCTGAAATGCCTGACAATACTCACCACCACCAAAGCCTTGACTCGCCAGAGCAGCACTTTGGTGACACACTGTTTAAATGCACAGAACAGTTGGTAAAAGGCAGAGGGGAGCATCCTTTCCTAGCTAAAACCTAGCTAGTTAACTCATGTCTGAAGGAATCTAGCCAGGACATAAACTTGGTCATGTTTTTGACCCCACTTTGAATGTAAATGAGTTGTCCAAACACGCCAAAGTCAGTTTTCCCTCAATGCAGAGTTGCAGTTTCTAGAAGGGCTGAACTGAGTGAGGCCTCAGAAAAGGAAGGAGGAGGTAGAAATTATACAGTTGGCACTCGTAAATTAAATCAAAGCCTAACGTGTGTTACAGGAACTCTTTTCCAACGTCAATCTGTATGTACAAAAAGGTCTAGTACAGATGAAAATCTTCTAGTCTGACAGTGTGAGTTGACTCATTCTTACTTAAGCTGAAGCTAAAAGAACATGTGAACCTTCCCCTGTACAACTGAGGTTTGAGAAAACACACAGAAGATCCATCTACCAGCTACAGCAGGTATAAAAAACATTTGAAAAGTGGAAGAAAATCTGCAGCTTAAGAGAAACACCTGTCTTCCATTCTGACTTTTTAAACCAAACAGCAAGTGCTATTCTGATCACTTCTAGGTGAGTGATGCTTGAAGCATCGTGATTCGTGGTGAGGGGGTGTTAGGACACATGAGACTTGATTACGTGGAGGGAGGAAGTACTATTGATCATCGTGAAAACACTGGATTAAGTACTCTGTTCATCTCATTTCCTGTCATTAATCAAACTGCAATTGGCAACTAGTTGTAGAGAAAATGCTGGCAGTAGTTGCTCTTTTTAATAGATTTTTATGAAGTTTTGGGGTATTTCTGCCCTCAAAGGGCAAGACAGTTTTATCAAATACACAACCGATTTCCCTCCATTATATACATTATATACAATTGAGTGTTCAGTTCCTTCATTCTGCTTTCCTTGTAAATGGGACTCTTCATTGTCCAATGTGAATGAAGATTACCTTCAATGAAATACCCATCCAGCTCCTCAGTGGTAATGTAGCGTCAGCCACTGGAAACTTCACACATAAAACAGAACTAACTTCTGCTTTTAGTCTATCCCACTTAGACTGTTTCATGACTAGCTTAAGGCTAACTTTTTAAAAACTCAGTCTTTCTTAAAGTCCTTTTTTTTTTTTTTCCTCTTGTCCATTTGTCCATTTTTATGGGCAATGTCACACAGTAGCAAGTCTCTCTTTTGAGCTCTTAGTTTCTGATGGCTGGATTTTTGTGGTGTCTTGTCGAGGTAATCCATAGAGGTAAATAGAAATACACACCAGGACAGCACCCACGAAGAAGGTAACAGCTGAAAGAAGACAAAATAGCTTAAATAAACACGTCTGCATAAGAAGAAAGAAGACTAAGCTATATAAATTATTATGATATCAGAATAACAGCATTAAAGCTACTCAAAACTAAACAGGACAACAAGCTGTTAATAATTCACAGAATCAAGACTCATCCTCCGTCACCAAGAACTCCTGAGTGTTTACCATCCCCTCAACCACTTCAGTTGGTCTCATATCAGCACGAACATGATGATGGTCAGAAAAGCAAGCATGAAACATCTCCTGCAGTTGCAGATGCCATCCGACAGGCTTCCGTTACAATAAATGTAACGATAAAGATGCGGTGAATGTCATAAAGTAGTCTGCGAGAGCACATTGTGTTTGCCTTTCCACATCTAGCCACGGTTAGGAAACACTATTAATGAGGCTTTCACAGAAAGATCACCAGTCCAGGTTTGATTTGTGTCAACCATCAAGAAAACGTTCTGCTCAAGTGAGGTTTTAAAACTAGTTGTGTTTTTCATCCCTTGCTTTGAGGTGCTCTTTTTCAGCCAAACACTGATAATTTTCTCCTTATGCAAACTTCATGTTTCACCTCACGAATGCCACATCAGAAATCTAGTTTTGCCACCGTTACACTATACCATCTTTGGATTACAGTAGGAAAGTAAAAAGTACCCAAAACTAAACAGTGAAGGACTGGGCAGGAGCTCAGTATCAGACACAGAATTGATCAGGGAGAAAATCTTTTCTAGTTGCCGGACAGCTCAAAGCAATCTGCTGTTTCCTCTCGAAAATATTCATCACACCAGTCATGACCCCAGCTGCTGTTTGGCTCGCTCTCCTGTGCTGCTGTCCACAGCAAACAGGGAAGGCAGAAGTTAATGTGGTAGGGGGTATGACGTAACAGGGATATGTAAGGCCCTTGCAGAAACAGCTGAGGAATTAATTTGGCTCTGGCTGTGCTAAAACCAACACAAAATAGTAACTTATCAACAGCAGTCTCAGGTAAACAGTTATATCACATGCTGAACTGCATCAGAAAGCGACAGACAAATAAAGCTGTATAAACTCGTAAGCGGTTCAAATCGGAAAGAACGTTCCCGTTTGAGGCTGTAGGATGCTTCTGAAAGAACAACTCGTGAACTGCCTTCGAAAGCACAGCTCATCGGGCACCTCATGTGCCACAACAGAGACAATACCTTAGTGCACAGGAGTCCTGGAGAAGACTTGGAAGTTAAAATGAGCAAAATTCAAAATAAGGCACAAATGATTGCTCAGGTATGAACGGCACAGGGCCCGCTGGCAGCCCGCTAGCCAGGAAGGAAATGGTTGAGTCAAAGGCAAAAAGGCACTTACTTATCTGGAGGCCGAAGAGGATGACTGATGCCACAGTAGAAAGAACAATGGCTGCCGCTGCAGAAAAGCCTTTCATAATGTTATCTGTGTACTTAACAACCACCGAAGTGTAGAGGCCACCTACGCTGGCCAGAACTGCAAAGCAGATAACAGGTTTCTCTTAGTAAAGGTGAAGTAGGTTATTCTTGAAATGATGCTTTTTACCCCACTGGTGTACTCCTTGTTTGGGCTACATCCTCCTAACCGGTGATGTAACACAACTTTCAGCAAAATGGGATGTCTACACAGCACCTAGTAGATCAGATACAACTCGTTTAAAGATGACCTACTCACTACTCAGTCGTTTAGACTGCTGCTTCAGCACAATTTTAAATTGAACAAGTGAATAATTGCCAAGAAAATGATACTTTTAAAAAAAATCCCTCAAAGCACAAAAAAGTGGGTCAGACTGAATTTGTAACTTTGTGCAATCAGTTGTATCAGTTAAAGAAGCAAAACAATGTAAAGACTTTAAACCAGGAGATACTTACATACAACAAACCAGACATAGTATGTATAGCCGTAGAAAAATCCTTTCTCAAGAACTTGGGCTCCATCTGACATGTACACACCAAATAACGTCACCACAATCCCAGATAAGTACATCTGAATATTCCTCACCCACAAGGAAGTATCTGAACTCTTTAAGACCTTCTCAAAATAAACTCCTAAAGAAAAAAAAGGTAAAAAAAAGGGTTTCAGTAAGATAAATGAAGTTTCATCCTTAATGATTCATGGTTCATAGCGTTTTAAAGCCAGACAACACTACTGGAATCATCTTGTCCTACCGATTGTTCCGTTTCACAGAAGCTCCTGATGCAGAAAGCCCAACAACACATCCCGCTAGCGTGCGTCTTCCACAACAGGACCATTTTAATGGGTATATAACATCAAAAATACATTCTGTTTCTCTTCACAGTTTTTTTAACAATGAACCTCACAGACAATTGAAATGACTCCTCATTTCTGTTTGGTCTGCTGATTCCGGCAGCATTTCCTCTGTACGATTCTACACCAGAAAAAAAGCATTTCACCTTTGTCCTGGTTTCAGCTGGGATAGAGTTCATTTTCTTCTTGATAGCCAGAATAGCACTGTGTTTTGGATTTAGTATGGGATTTGGTATGAGAAGAATGTTGATAAAATACTGGTGTCTCTAGTTACTAAGAAATCACGGACTTTTCAACTTCCCATGCTTTGCCAGAGTGCAGGTGCACAACAAACTGAGAGGGAGCACAACCGGAGCAGTGGACCCACAATTCTTGGCTTAGGAATTCATTTGGCTTAGCCAAAACCAGGACAACCTTGGCACTTGGTATTTTATCCCCAGGACAGTATTTATGCATTTCAGTATGATGCAGAACTCTTTAC